TAATTGATTTATGTTTAACGTTTATGTTTAACAAAATCATTTTAAGGTGCTATAGGACACCCATGAGTGTAAGATATTATTGAAGAAACACAAAATACTAATTTATATTGTCAAGCATCTAGTTGTCTCATTTATGTACAAATACTTTTTCGTTGATATTGCTAATGAATAAATCTTTTAAACCAAAATTAACATATTATCCATAAAAAACTAAATAGAATAATTATTGACCATAAAATTGATATATGAGATGGTAAGGGCTTTGTAATTGTTGACCAATCAAATTTAAGTACAATTAACAGTTCTGTGATGGTAATCACCGATAATAACCATAATTGATTACCAATTTTTTACTATGACTAAATATTAAAGAAACAGTAACAAATGCTGAAGAACATCTTATGTATTCTATCGTATTTTCTTACCTAGTGTCTGATAAATATTCGTATCCTTCTCTTATTGCCACAATAGATGCAAATAAAGTGAATATAAATCTTCCCACAAATAGAAAATGATCAAGTGGTATCCAAAAAATTAGTTTCAAATAAAATGTTGCTATATGACCTAATAATAAGAGAATAACAAGATAAATTGTTCCTAGCCAACAACCGAATGCTGCTGAAGGATACCAGTAGAATTCCGTCCAATCCTGAAGTGTAACATGATTAAGAACATACATAATTTTACCGCTAAAACAGAAAACAAAATAAAAGAGGGAAGAGAGAGAGGGAAAGGACAAACTTGCATATAATACACACCGTACACTTTGTGTTTTCCACATTCCTCTCCAATTATGAAGTTCAATTTTTAAATGTTTACATGTTTTTATGCCCACATAAATACCACCACCATTACATAGTAATGCATCTAATATCCACTACAACAAGTAAAGTATAGAAGATTCCACTACTACTTTTATCTTGTAATTGAAATAACAACAGCTACTATCGTCGCCAAAACATAAGGTCCCTCGCTATTTCTTGAATAACGTTTTTCAGATAAAAGCTAGCGACCTAATATTTTCAGATTCAAAAAGTAAATGAATTTTGCTATACAACCATGTGAAAGTCCAGTCCCGTACGTCACCTGCAAG